TAGAAGAGATGAATTTGAGGCCTTTTAGTCGTACATGAGTAGGGGACAATCCCTTAAGATTTCAGTCTTCCAGCTTTTTTCGTTCCCGAGTTAGCAATTTTCCTGCCAAAACTTTCATGTGCCCATGCGTGAATCCCAGGTAGTTCTAAGAAGCTGAGTTTGAAATCTTTGGTACAGTACAGAACATTCCCCTAAAGTTTTAGCCTTCTAGCTTTTCTTGTTCCAAATTAGCAATTTTCCTGTCAAAACTTTCACGTATCCTAACGTAAGTCCCGGGCAGTTCTAACGAGCTGAATTTGAAATCTTCTGGTCGCAGATGAGTAGGGAACATTCCTCCTAAAGTTTCAGTCTTTCTCGTTTCCGAGTTAGCAATTTTTCCGCCAAAATTTCGACGCGCTTCTACATGAATTCCGCGCAGTTCTAAGTAGCTGAGTTTGAAGTCTTTCGATTGCACATGAATAAGGAATATTTCAGCTTCTTAGTTTTCCTCATTCCCGAGTTGGCAATTTTCAGCCAAAAGTTTCACTTGCCCATACATAAGAAATACAGCGCGTGACAGTTGGGTATCACCTTCCTGAAATAGCACTTGGCCAGGGAGTACACTGTAAAATTCCAGCATCAAAGTTTGAGTGACTGGCGATTAGAAATACCCGAATAGACGAACACACACAAACATACACATATATACACAGGCAGGGTCGTCGCAATATGCGTTTTTGTTGCCTGTTGCAGCGCTTTAACGTTGCGCGGTAAAAACACATAAAAACAAGTGAAAACAATTGCGTATTTACCGATTTACCTCGACAATGAATGTTCGTCTTAGAAATTATACACCTCGCTAACTATACTGCCTTATCTGTGTATTTCACCAACAGCACATTTACCTCAACAATAAGATTAGCCAGGATGCATTCGAGTTCGTCTTCGTCCAAATCGCCTATTCCAAGCCATCGCAGAGCGCATATAAATGCATCGTAAGGAATTTGATTTGTTGCACATATACAAGCTCTGTGAAAAAAATGTTATTGTACGGAAAGTAGAGGTACTGATTTCCCCGTAATATTGATTTTCCAATAATCTGATTTTCCTGTAAGCGTGGTTAGTCCCTAAC